GTATATATGTACATTTATATATATATATATATATATATATATATATAATGAATTATTCTGAAGTATTAGGTAACACAACCAGAAAACCCTCCAAAAATTTTCTTTAAAGTACCTTCTGCAGCTTGCTGCCACTAGTGATTTTGTATAGTGTTTAGTTATACTTAATTCAGCTTGAATTATTTTGATAATAACAGAGTTGCTATAGGAAATTCTGTTGCATTTCCTAAAGAAAATATGGTATAGTGCCAAGCATTTTGACTTATTTCACATCATTGACTAATTTGTAACCAAGCAGAATTTCTCAATTACATCCTTTTACTTTACCAAGATTTTGTAACTGCATTTTCCTGTTGCAAGATGCTTTTTATTAAGAGATTATACTTCTAGATGTTATGCAAAAATTCAATCATTTGCATTATCAGTGGTGAGAGTATGGACTGAAGCAATTACTCAGTTGAATTGCACGATGATTTCTTCTACATAAATTTAATAGTATAAGCAATGATAAAACCTGACATTCACAGAGTGTTTTCTATGTTTTAGGCACTGTTCTCAGAGCTTTTTCTTGGATGAACTCATATATATATATATAAAATCATTTTGATGCTCAATATTATTAGTAAGTACTATTATTTTCTGTTTCTCAAAAGTTAATGAGTGAGCCAAGTCTTACAACTAGAAAATAAGGGCAATTATCTGTTCACATGGATAGATTAAACCCAAATTAATCTGTTGTCAACTGTTGAAAAAACAAAACCTATTTTCATGCTATTAATTCAGTTTCATTTATTTCATTCATCTATTTAATATATAAATATTATGTGCCAAATACGAGAATACAGGATTCTAGGGGGGAGGGGTACAACAATCAATCAATCAATTTTAAAAATTCTCTTCTCTCATGAACTTAATATTCTGAGGTTAAAAATAAATACCAAGCAAATAAATATATACTATGTCTGGTAGTCCTAAATGCTATGAAGAAACCAGTGTTAGGTTAAAATACAGAAAAATACATTTGGAGTTTGTCTCTTATATGAGTAGGTCAGGAAAAGTACAAGGTTCTCTCTAACTAGGCGACACTGGTGCAGAGAATCCAGAGAGGCAGGAAAGGGAGCCAAGAGTCAACAGAACGTAAATACTCCAAGCAAAGGAAAAACTCATCCAATCCTGACATGGGATCATGTCTGACATGTTTGAAGAATAGCAAGGAGGCATGTGAGGAAGGAGGAGTTGGTAGAAGACATCAGGATATAGCCACTCTTCAGAGCTTGTGGCCGTATAGTTCATCAAATCAGTAGGGCACTAAATAACTTTGAATTTTACTCTGAGTGACATGTAAGGCACAAGAACATTTTCATCAGATCAATGTTTTTACTTGACTTTTATTTCAAATGGATTACGCTAGTTACTTTGTGGAGAATGGATATATAGGAATAAGAGTGAAAACAGGGACACAAATTAGGCTACTATACTATCCCAGGGAAACCATATGGTGAGACTGGACCAGGAAGGTATAATTGGAAGTAGTTAAATGGTATAGGTTCGGCTATGTTTTGATGATAGACACAGCATCATTTGTCAATGGAGGAGTGCAAGAAAGAGTGAATGAAAGATAACTCCACAGTCACATGTCTGAACAAACAGATGAATGAAAATCCATTCACTGAGATGGGGATAATTCTAGTAAAATAAGTTGTGAAAGACAAAATTAATTATATTAGACATGCTACATTTAAGATAATATCTATTTAACATCCAAGTGCAGATGACACACAAGCAATTAGACATATTAGTCCAAATCTGAGCTTCACATAGAAAATTTTGAATTGAATATTTCATCAAAACCTAATGAGAATACAGAATAACTGAGTGTAGATAAGAAAAAGAAGAAATCCAAGAACTTAAGATGAGAAGGGGCCTAGAGAGACTGAAATCATTTCCATTATGGAAGAAAAAATGAAAGAGGGAATGGAACATTTTTTATGAAATTTTGAAAAGTACCTTTAAAAAGAAGAAATGATGTATTGATATAATAAAATTACTAAAAATTGCCATTGGATTAATCTATATTGAGATCTTGGTGAATATGATAGAAGGGGTCCCAGTAGAGAAGAGAACTCATTGAGGTGAAATGAAAGCATGGACAGCAAGTTCAGATAACTGTAATTTTTTTAGCAACTTTATCAATATGTTTTCTTTCATAAAATAGACAATAATTTTTAATTTTACTATAAAAAAGTGGTGCAGAATTGAGAAGCACATGAAACAGAGTATATATTGAAGAGAGATGAGTTTTCAAAAACCAGTCAATTAATTATTATTTTTTAATATAAGAGATTTTGCACTATGTGCATAAGAAAGCAATTGTGTAAGACATGTTTGCAAAAATAAAAAGCATTTAAGCCTCTAGAAGAGATAATATACAAAGTAGAAGTTGAGAGGTTAAATTTAGCCAAGAGGAAAGGTAATGTTTCTCTTATATTAAGAGAGAAGTTAGCATCCATAGAGAAGCAAGTATGTTGTTACATTGGCTGGTGACGTTTTATAAAGTCTACTGATTGGTTTCAGTGTTCTCAGTATAGTCTACAAAAGGTCATCAACTAGCAATACAAAGGTGTCTTTGCAAAGATAGGGGAGGATCTGTAAAAGTCTCACCTGAGGGGAACAATATGAAATAGTCCTTGGGAGAATGAACAGATTAGAAATTATGGTTTGGCTGCTTAAAGGACCCATATGAAGTTAAAGGTAACACATTCAGAATAATACTAATCAGCTTAGTTGGCAATTTTTTAATGACAAAAGGAGGTATTAAGATAAATTCAGAGTGAATACTGAGTTGGATATAACCAAGTATTAATAGAGGGAGGCTTTGGCCAAGGTATGCCACAGGACCAGTGACAGCAGAGAAATTGAGGGCATTCTATGAAGTGAAATAAACCAGACATAGAAAGACAAATAAGATCTCACAGAGTGGAGAGTAGAATGGTGGTGGCCATAGGCTGTTATAGGTAGGTGCTAGTGAGAAGTTGGTCAAAGGAGACAAAGTGATAGTTGGAGATATAAATTCAAGAGATCTGTTTCACAGCATAGTGACTCTAGTTAATGATGATGTATTGTATGTGTGAAAAATGTTAAGAGAGGGAATGTTGAATATTCTCACCACAAAAAAAGATACTTCAATGAAATCATGCCTATTTTAGTTAGCTCATTTAGCCACTCGACAGTGTTGTATGTATACAATAAATATGTGCAATTTTATCTGCCAGTTAAAAATAAATACTTAATTTTTTTGAAAGAAGTAAAAAAGAAAGAAACCTTGAAGGTCTACTAAGGAGTGAGGAAAGTGGTGATGTTATGAGGAGTGTAAGCTGAGTAAGAATGGATGGAGATTCTACATCAGGGGAGGAACAGTGAATGCTGGGGGTAGCCACGTATAACTCAGAGATCTTGATAGGGTAAAATTATTTCATACTGGCCTTTATAAGTAGGTTAAATGTCACTTGCTGGCTTTCAGTTCAGACTCAAATGTACCTTTCTCTTTTGAAAATTTCTTTCTCCTAATATCTATGATAGATTTCAGTCATTAGTATTAAAATTATGAAATTTTAAAAAGTATTTTTAAAAAGAGGTATACATTAGGTATAAATTCTATTTCAATGTTATTTGGGGTGAATGAATCTGCTTAGGTTGTAGGCAAGCAATCAGGTTTTGTGTGTGTGTGTGTATACATATATATGTGTATATAGATATGCATGTTACATATACACAAAGAAACATACATACATATGCATACATACCACATACATATATCAGTAAAAAATAAACAGACTTGGGAAAACTGTAGGGTAACATGGAACCTAATGCAATTATTTTTAGTAGTTTCGAGTACCAGATTCAGAATTTATGCAGAGTAAACTTTTAGCTTGAATGAGTTAAAGCTTTTGGATTTGAAAACCTGTCCGTTTCTTAATATAATCAGATATGTGAGTCTCTGTAAACTTTCTTTGCTTTCAAAGGCAAACATAACTAATAATTTCTGTAAAGGTCTTGAATCGTTCCAACATCTGTTCTTGGTTTACTATAAAAACCATGTCTCTGATCTCATGTGTTGAACTACTGTATGTTTGCCACTGTCTATTTCCTGTGAAAAAATACATCGAACAATAATAGCTTTTGTTCCTAATGTTCCAACCACTAAAGCAGCTGAACAAATAACATCCATGCTTTCATTTAGAATAATTTATTCCATGTACATGTTTATGCAGAGTCATTTGGCTTATTGGATGTTTCATCATTTAAAAATCAAATCTCAGAATTTTAGACTACTGAAAACTCTGCTCTAATAGTTTCCTCATGCTTATAGTAATTCTCTTAACGGCATTTCCTTCCTAATTCATCATTTTATTTTGTGTATGGTTTGGTATATATGAGTAGAAGTGGTTAAAAATCTCCTTTATTAACAAAGTTAGCGGAAATTTCCATCGGAGGCCACACATTTCGCAAATAACATTTAAAGATTAAATAATTTGGCATTTAAACCATAAAAAGTAACTATGTTTGCTCTTTTGTTGCCTAAAGAAATAATAACTATAGATTAGTAATGATCTAAATTATAATACATTTGTCTGAGCTCAACACACTCCAGATGACTTAATGGTAGGCCAGGCAACACACAGCTAGCCTAACTTCCATTCCGCAAAATATCTTATTACATAAACTTTGCTAGCCAGACATGGAATAAGCTGTGTGCTGATTAAATAAGACAAATACAAACACTTTTTAAAAATCAAGAAAACCAGTTACTTAAAAATCAGTTCTAAATCATGTGCAGTGGCAACAGTTTGAAATATTTTTTTACCATGCAGAACTCTTCCACTCTTTTAAAAAAAATTAAGAATTATTATTTAAATCTTGGTCACCACAACATTCCATTGGAAACCAAAACCTGCAGTCAGTCATTCAGCTAACCAGTAGACCCAGTGTCTAATAGACCATCTGGAGCTACAGAAGGAATGGTTTGGTGGTTAAGATAAACACAAGTCAAATGTATTAGAGTTGTCCACAGTCGGAAATGGTGATCTTCTTGCTGGTCTTGCCATTCCTGGACCCAAAGCGTTCCATGGCTTCCACAATGTTCAAGCCCTCTTTCACCTTCCCAAAGACCACGTGCTTGCCATCCAACCACTCAGTCTTGGCAGTGCAGATGAAAAACTGGGAATCGTTTGTGTTTGGCTCAGCATTTGCCATAGACAAAATGCCAGGGCCTGTATGCTTTAGGATGAAGTTCTCATCATCAAACTTCTCCCCGTAGATGGACTTGCCACCAGTGCCATTATGGCTTGTGAAGTCACCACCCTGGCACATAAATCCTGGAATAATTCTGTGAAAGCAGGAACCCTTATAACCAAATCCTTTCTCTCCAGTACTCAGAGCATGAAGGAGAGCACCCCTCCATCCCATCTGTTCGCAATATCCCATAATCTTTGTGCTCTCACTGCAGTTCTTTGGGTTCCATATTTTCCTTTTTCCACTCCCAAGTCTAGCTGGATTGCAGAGTTAAGTTTATGATTATGAATAAAAACTAAATGACAAAATAAAATAAAATAAAATAAATTAAAAAAAATAGACCATCTGGAAAGCTCAGGACACATAACGTTTTCAGTTTAATTCAGATATTGTAATCTGTGAGTAAAGTGATATCAACTGTCAGTTTTAAGGTTTGAGTTTGGAACAAGGTCAATATTCCATCAGAATTCAGCTACTTTGAGGAGTAACCACTTTGTTGATTGTAGTGTATTCTCATTAAGGATATAATGAGCTGTTAGTTTCTAGGGTTGCTATAACAAAATAACACAAACTGAGTATCTTAGAAGATTAGCAATGTATTATCTCACCATTCTAGAGGTCAGAAGTCTTAAATCAAGGTGTCAGCCAGGCCATAATTATCCAAGGAAAAATTTATTTGGGCTTTCCTAGCTTTGGCGAGTTCCTTGACTTCTAGTAGCAATGACTACCATCTTCATGTGGCATTCTCCTGTGTGCATGTCTCACTGCACCCAAAATGTTCCCTTCTCATAAGGATAGAACATATAAAAAGTTAGGCCTTCATTTTAACTGAATTGTCTCTGTAAATCTAATCTCCAAATAAGACGAAATTCTACAATATTAGTAATTAGGTATCTTTTTTGGAGTAGAGGTTTTTTGGGCAGGAGAATTTAACTCATAACAAAGTCTTTTTGTGTTGCCAGCCAATTTTCTCGTAGGTATGAGATAGGTGTGTTTTATGGCTCAATTTTTTTCAGCAATATTACACTTAAAATTTTATATGTTTGTGATTGGTAATATCTAGTCAGTGTTTTTTAATAACCTTATATAAAAATGTTATTCACAACTAGAATATTTCATAAAACAATTATGGCTTGATAACTATTTCACAAATCTAGGTTTGTTTAGCTTGGAAGCTCTCAGAAGATACCACTTGTCTCACATCCAAGGGTGTGAATGGAATTCTTTCCACTTACCTTGGCTCTCTGCTTGAGTCAAATCCTCAACCATAGTGGTGAGCACAGCTCTGGTTATTTATATCATGTGACATCAAAAACTCTGATAGCTGCAAACAGCAATGTTTGATAGCTTCTCTGAAAGTGTGTGCTTAAGTTAATTTCTTATCTTCTTTATAACTTGTCAGAAGACCAATAAGGATCTCAAATATTCATAATATCACATATTTTTCCCATTCTTTTCTCTACAATCAAAAGCTGATTTTTACAAATACATTACTAATTTATTTCAAAACAGTCCACCACAGATAGTTTAACTAATTGATGGATTATATTCATTTAATTTGAAAATAATTGCTATGTTTACTTGCTACCAATTTCTCTAAATTTTTTATAATTCTTAACTTTGTTCAGACACAGCTTTCTTTAAAACAATGGCTTGCTCTATCGTGTTCATTTTCAAGAATATTTTTTTTAAATAAAGCTCTTTCATCTTCATGGAGGCATGTAACAAAAATGTATATATTTGCATTATGTAAACATGCTGTGAGACAACTTACACATTACTAAAAGATTATGAAAACTTAGATATTTAACAGATCCACCATTTCACATGGTTTGTTTTGTATTTAAGTGAGCTAAGTTAAGATCTGCACAGAAAAATTCAAATATGTAATTTGTATTGTTCATGAGATTCACCATAAAGTACACTAAAACTCCAAAAGGCATTTATACTGCATAATTAAAACATTGTACTCTTTGTTGAATACTTGTGGCAACAACTGTTTTATTCACTGAGTTCAACTCCTTTGGATTCCACCTGTAAAAGAGATCATACCGTATTTGCCTTTCTGTACTTGACTTATTTTGCTTAGCTTAATCTCTGCCAGGTTTGTTCACATTACTGCAAGTGACAGAATTTTGTTCCTTTTTAAGGTTCACTAGTAGAACATTTTCTTTATCCACTTGTCTGTCAATGGACACTAAGGTTTATCCCATATCTTGGCTATTGTGAATAATGCTGCACAGAACCTGCAAGTACAGGTATCTTTTTGACAAATTTATTTCATTTTGTTTGAATATATGTACTCAGAAGAAGAATTGAAATTCAACATTTTTTCATGACAAAGACTCTCAATAATTTAAGTGTAGGAGGAGTGTATATTAACATAATGAAAATCATATGTGATATACCCACAGTAACATCATATAGTGAAAAGCTTAAAGCTTTTCTTCTAAGATCAGGAATAGGACAAGGATACCCAATCTCATCACTTTAATTCAATATAGTGCTGGAAGTCTTAGCTTAGCTAGAGCAATTCGACAAGAATAAAAAAAAAAGCATCAAAATCATTAAGGAAGTAAAATAGTTTGTTTGTTAATGACATGATCTTATGTATAGAAAATCCTAAACATACTATTAAAAAACGGTTAAGGATAATAAAGATACTCAGTGAAATTATAGGATATGCAATTAACATTAAAAATCTGTTATGTTTTTAAACACTAGTAACAAACCATCTGAAAAATAAATTAATAAAATATTCCAATTATTATGCCATCAAAAAGTAAAATATTTAGAGTTGGGTGCATTCACATAGGCCTGTAATTTCAGAGGCTTGGGAGGCTGAGACAGGAGGATTGCAAGTTCATAGCCAGCTGCAGCAACTTAGGGAGACCCTGTCTCTAAAAATAAGTCAGGGGTTGGGGATGTGGCTTAGTGATTAAGCACCCCTGGGCTCATTCCCTAATACCAAAGTAAAATAAAAAATTTAGAAATAAATTTAAGAAAGGGGATGAGAGATCTATACAATAAATATCATAAAATATTGATGAAAGAAATTAAAGCAGATACAAATTAATGGATAAATCCTGTGTTCATGGATCGGAAGAATTAATATTGTTGAAATGTTTATACTATCCTAAGGGGTCTTCAGATTCAATGCAATCACTATCAAAATTTTAACATAATTTTTTATGTTAATAAGAAAACAATACTAAAATTTTATGGAGCCATACGAGATATTGAGTAGACAAAGCGATCTTGAATGAAAAGAACAAAGTTAGATGGACAAAATTAAATGTAATAAAATACAATAATACATTGTGCTCTTCTGTAAGGGATGTCAGCATTCCATATGTAAAACAATCAGTCATTAAAGTGCTTGTCAGTGCATTCTGATATTTCCTTTTCTTTTTCCAGCTTATGCATTTCTATTTTCTTTTAGATTGTGGTAATCCCCCCTAATCTATGGACCATATGTTCCAATGACAGAAACTGTGGGTTGTACTGAAACTTTTGCATACTATGTTTTTTCCTGTATGTACACACCTGTGATAAGCTTAATTCATGGTTCTAACACCATAAGAGATTAATAGCAATAATAAAGTAAAGCGATTAATTTAACAATATAAGTTATATAATGTGGTTTCTTTCTCTCTCTCTCTCTCTCTCTCAAATTATCTTACAGTTCTTTCAGCTTTAGCTGCACCCCCAGCTCTTTTTATCTTTTATTTTGAGACAGGGTCTCACTAAGTTGCATAGGGCCTTGCTAAGTTTCTGAGGCTGGCTTTGAACTTGTGATCCTTCTGCCTGGGCTTCCTGATCTGCTGGGATTACATGTGTTCACGACCACACCTGATGGGTTTATTCTTAAGTGTTACTTGAACCCAAGTACTGTGATACTGCTACCATTAGTCTGATGACCAAGACAGCTATGAAGTGATTAACTGGATACCCTGTAAGTAATGGATATGCCAAAGGGACGATTCATATCCTGGGCGGGGTGGTGTGTGACAGAGAGAGATTTCATTGCGATGCTCAGAATGGTCTGAATTTTGAAACATATGAATTGTTTCTTGCTTGAATTTTCCATTTCATATTTGACTATGGGTAATTGAAAATTGAAAAGCAAAATTGCAGGTAAGGGGGAACTACTCTATTTTGATTTCTTAAAAATTCTAGCCATGATTTATTAATGATAGTTTATAAATAACCACTGAGTAAACTATTCATGGATTGAAAACCACACGATTACATTATATGCTCTGAGAATGTTGGATTTGGTGACATTTTACACACACACACACACACACACACACACACAGTGTTAGAGATACTGCTGTCCACCTGGTACTCTATTGGTCAGGAATGCACATTTGCTATTGTGCCTCATTACTTCTGCAACATAGTTCAGCATGGTTCTAGATTAATATTGCTTTCCTAGTGAGAAATGTCCCCTTTGTGGAATAATGCATTCTATCTATGATCCTCAAAAGCATCTTGGAGAAGGGCTGAAATTCAGCTTCTCCATATTTTTCTCTCGCCCATATTTCATTTCATTGACTCAAGAAATATTCATGGAGCACTTCGTATATGCAGGATGCTATGATAAGCATTGAAATTTCATCAGCAAGTCAATGCAGACTTGAGCTGTACCCTCACTGAGATTATAATTAGGTGAGGGAAATTAAAATATGTATTTACATTAAATAATGTAGAATTGTAGCATTTCATGGCATGGATAACAGAGATACTCTGGTTTTCAAAATTCCTCTCCCTGCTGTTTTCCCCTCCTCCCACCTTCCTTTTTCCACGATATGTTCTCTGTGTTAAAGTACCACAAGTATACTGCCTACCACAGCTCTACAAAAAAAAAAAGGAAAAAAAATCAATGTTGATCCCACAATATATACAGGCACACAGATAACATATTACAAAAAAAAAAAGGAAAAAAAATTAATGTTGATCCCACAATATATACAGGCACACAGATAACATATTACATTGTCTTTTGGTAGGGGGTAAGGTAGGAATGTAGGAATATTGGAAGAATGGATGGAAGGAAGAAAGGAAGGAAGGAAGAAAGGAAGGAAGGAAGAAAAATTCTCACTTATTCCCTGCAAACTCATTTCCAAATACAGACTTGCAATATAATTCA